GACAGTGCTTCCCTTCTGTTCTTTCAAAAGTTAGCTGTTTTCTCTTCCACATCCCACTTATCTCTGGGCTTGGAAATAGGATAGGTGTCCACCTTGCTCCTTTTCACCCTTTTAGTCCATTGTTCCTCCCTCCTTCCTCCTCCCTAAAATCCCCCAACTTCTTTGAAGTTCATACCTTGAAAGTATACTACCTGAATGCTTTCCTTTTTGGCATCATCTGTAGACTACCAGGCCATTCTGTTCTGTTGTTAAAGATTTTAAGCACCTGGTTCATGTTTATTCTTTCTGTTTCTGTCTCTCTTTTTCTGTCTGCCTTTCTGTCTTCTTTCCTTTCCTCCCTCTTTCTCCCTTCTTCTCCTCTCCCCTACTAATCTTAGAATTTTTAAAATTTTAATATCCAGGTAGATGATACTTGTAATACTCTGAACTCTCGGTTCCTTAACCTCCTCTCTTCCAGTAATGTTGTCCTTCACATTATCTCTATCACCCACTTCGACCATCATGGTAATGTTCTTGTCATTACAAGAAACTGGACCTCCTCCATAATATTGAGTTAGTTCACTAATATCCTCCTATTGTGCTCAGTTATTTTTATTATAACAGATTTACTGAGATATAATTCACATACCTGAAAATTCACAGTAGCTCAAGATGGCTACTGGAAGTGCCAGCCATCATATCTAAATTATAGGCAGGAGGAAGCAGGGGAGAAGGACAAAAGGGGCACATTCCTGCTGCCTTGTTTCCTCTCTTATGGGGCTTTCCTGGAAATCCTACCCTATAATATCACCTTACAACTCAATGGACGTATCTCTCTGCAAAGGAGTTTGGGAAGTAGTCTTTTATCTATGGACACTGTCATTCAGGATAAAAGCAGCCTTCTATTTCTAAGGAAGAATGGATGTCGAGTAGGCAACTAGACAGCATTGGCAGAAACTGATAATAGCTATCTCAGACTCCGTAGTTCTAAAAACAAATTGTGTACTTCCCCTAAAAATCTGTTTTTCCTGTACTCTTCTCCATTCAGTAAAGGGCATTTTGGGGCCGGCCCATGGCTCACTCGGGAGAGTGTGGTGCTGATAACACCAAGGCCCCGGGTTCAGATCCCATATAGGGATGGCCGGTTCGCTCACTGGCTGAGCGTGGTGCTGACAACACCAAGTCAAGGGTTAAGATCCCCTTACTGGTCATCTTTAAAAAAAAAAAAAATACAATTTAGTGATTTTTAGTGTATTCACAAGGTTGCACTAACATCACTACTATCTAATAGTATGTTCTAGAATATCTAATTTCAGAACATTTTTATCATCCCCAGAAAAAACCATTAGCAGCCGTTCCCGTTCCCCTTTCCTCCCAGCCCTTGTGAATTTCTAATCTATTTTCTGTCTATGGATTTGCCTATCTGGACATTTACTATAAGTGGAATCTGGACATAAGTTTTCAACTCATTTGTGTAAATACCAAGGAACACAGTTGCTAGATCATATGGTAAAACTACGTTAAGTTTTGTAAGAAGATGTCAAACTGTCGGGCAAAATGGTCCGGCCATTTTGGAAGTACCATTTTGCTTTCCCACCAGCAATTCCTATTGTTCTACATCCTTGTCAGCATTTGGTGTTGTCCACATTTTGAACTATAGTCATGGTGATAGGTGTGTAGTGGTATCTCATTGTTTTAATTTAAGATACCCTATTGAAATATGATGTTGAACATTTTTTTCATATGCTTTTTGGCAATATACATATCTTCTTGGTGAGGTATCTGTTCAGATCTTTTACCTTTTATTTTTCCTCCAGTTTTGCTAACTTCAGGGATTGCTTTCTTTGTGGTAAAAAACACATAACATAAAATTTACCATCTTAACTATTCTTAAGTGTACAGTAGTATTGACTATATACACATTGTTGTACAACAGATCTCTAGAACTTTCTCATCTTGCAAAACTGAAACTCCGTTGAACCAGCTCCCCTCCATTTCCTCCTCTCCCCCAACCCCTGGTAACCACATTTTACCTTCTGTTTCTGTGAGTTTCACTACTTTAGATATCTCATATAAGTAGAATCATGCAGTATTTGTCCTTTTGTGACTGGCTTATGTCACTTAGAATAATGTCCTCAAGGTTCATCCACATGGTAGATTATGTCAGGATTTCCTTTTCTAAGCTGAACAATATTCCATTGAATGTATATATCCAATTTTCTTTATCCATTCTTCTGTCGATGAACATTTAGGTTGCTTCCACCTCTTGGCTATTGTGGATAATGCTGCAATGAACATAGATCTGCAAATATCTCTTCAAGATCCTGTTTTCAGTTCATTTGGATATATACCAAGAAGTAGGTCTTTTGCCCATTTTTTATCTGGGTTTTTTGTTTTCTTAATTTTTGAGTTTTAAGAGTTCTTTGTATATTTTAGATACCAGACCTTTATCAGATATGTGTTTTGCAAATATTTTCTGTGACTATGGTTTGTCTTTTCATTCTCTTAACAGTGTCTTTTGCCGAACAAAAGTTTTTAATTTTAATGAAGTCTATAACATATCAATTTTTTCTCCCATGGACTATATTTTTGGTGTTTCATCTTTTTAGATCACCTAGATTTTCTCCTATTTTATCTTCTAGAAATTGTATAGTTTTGTGTTTTACATTTAGATCTAAGATCCATTTTGAGTTAGTATTTGTGAAAGGTGTAAGGTCTGTGTCTAGACTGGTTTTTTTGTGTATGGATGTCTACTTGTTCCAGCACCATTTGTTGAAAAGACTTTCTCCATTGAATTGCCTTTGCTCCTTTGTCAAAGATCAGTTGACTTTATTTGTATGGGTCTGTTTCTGGGCTCTATTCTCTTCCATTGATCAATTTGTCTATTCTTTTGCCAATTCCACACTGTCTTGATTGCTGTAGCTTTCATACTAAGTCTTAAAATTGAGTAGTTCCAGTCCTCAAATTTTGTTCTTTATTTGTCCCGACCCGCGGGATATTCAACACAGACCCTGGCGGGGGGAGTGGGAAGGGTATGGAACAAGAGACGCGAGAGATGGGAGACAAGACAGTATTCTGATCAAGTCTCGTTTATTGATTCTTAGGTTACATCTTATATAGGAAAAAGCAGGCATGCTGCAAAGGGTCTGGAATGTAAAGATATGATAATATCTTGAGGAGAGACAAAGACAGGACATTCAAAGTAAAGGTTGCCACCCAGAATGTTTATGATTAAACAGTTTCTAGAGAAGGATAAAAGGTCACTTGCAAATTAACTTGCATAGCCAGGAGCAATCAGTTTCTGGCATAAAGATTTCGAGGCAGTTATCATGTAAAGCACGGCCATCTGAGCAGATTGTCACGTAGGAGTGGTCTCACAAGAAGGGGTGTGGAGCTTCAGGCCCCCAACATATCCCCCTTTCTTTTCTTATATGAGAAATGGAAACATAGCCCAACATAATAAGAGCTGTGTCTGGCTTAGGTTGGGATGTTCAATTCTATAACAGCTTACCCGTCATCATTTGGAGGCAGTTATCATGTAAAGCACGGCCATCTGAGCAGATTGTCACGGAGGAGTGGTCTCACAAGAAGGGGTGTGGGGCTTCAGGCCCCCAACATTTATTGTTATATTTTCTGTCTGGGTCTTTTGCATTTCCATATAAACTTTGGAATCAGTTTGTCAATATCCACAAAATAGCTTTTTTAACTAGGATTTTAATTAGGATTACATTAAATCTATAGATCAAGTTGGGGAGAATTGATGTCTTAATTGAGTCTACCTATGAAAATGAAATATTTCTTTATTTACTTAAATTTTCTTTTCTTTCATCAAAGTTTTATAGTTTTTCTCATATAAATCTTGTACATATTTTGTTAAATTTATGCCTAAGTATTTTATTCTATGGTACTGATATAAATCATATTATGTTTTTAATTTCAAATTCCAATTCCTCAAAGCAACTGACTTTTGTATATTAATCTTATATCCTGTAACCTTGCTGTAATCACTTATTAGTTTAGGAGTTTTTTGTTTGTTTTATTTATTCTAGAATTATTTTTTTTCCACATAACATTTTTTCATAGGTCAAGGAACTTTAGAGTCAAATGCAAAAGCAGCATGAATTTTTAACATAAAACCTAGATCTGTGTTTGCTGTGGGTCTTTACTAGCTACAATCCCTCCCTATCACTGGCTTCTTCTTCTTCTTCTTTTTTTTTTTTTGTAAAGATGACCAGTAATGGGATCTTAACCTTTGACTTGGTGTTGTCAGCACCACACTCTCCCAGGTGAGCTAACCGGCCATCCCTATATAGGGATCTGAACCCGTGGCCTTGGTGTTATCAGCACCACACTCTCCCAAGTGAGCCATGGGCCAGCCCTTCACTGGCTTCTGCTATTCAAAGTTCTTTGGCTAAAAAGTTTGAAATGCTATTACCCATAAGTTTTTCCTTATTTTCCCTCTGAAGTTATCACTGATGATTTGCTTAGTATTTCCTAATCAAAATTGTATCTTGTATCTTTTTGATATGCATAGCTCTTTTTTTTTTTTTTGTCTTTTTGTCTTTTTCTGTGTCCGGCAACGGATCGCAACCCTCAGTGTTGCCCCCGTACCAGACCGGGGACCGGCAACGGGATCGCAACCCTCGGTGTTGCTCCCGTGCCTCGCTCAGCCAGTGAGCGGGAACCGGTCCGCATGTGGGATCCGAACCCTCGGGCGGGAGCGCCACCGCGCTTCCCAAGCGGCGCACTATCCAGTGCGCCACCGGGCCGGCCCCGATATGCATAGCTCTTGGGAGCGTAAAAGAGCCTGTGGGAAATTGGTCCATCCAGCCCAGTATCCTTTCTTACTGTGACACCAGAGGTCATTTTATGGGAAAACAGAATGGTATCTGCTTCAGATACTATAATTGTGTTTTGAAAAGTACTTATCCAAAAGCTGTTGATGGCTTTTATAAGTTTTTGCTTATCAGTAAGCGTAATGCAGTAATTACTTTTGTTCTCTTCTCTGTTTGTGGTCCTAGGTTGGTTCATTCTGGTTCCGGATGTCGATCTCCCTCACTTGGATCTGACCTTACATTTGCTACCAGGACAGGCTCTCGGCAGGGCATTGAGATGCATCTCTTCAGGGTGGAGACACATCGGGATCTGTCGACCTGGACCAGAATACTTGTTCAGGGTTGTCATGCTGCTGCTGAGCTGATCAAGGAAGTCTCTCTAGGTAGAGATGCTGACATTTCATTTCTTTTCTTTTTTTTTTTTTTTTTTTTTGTTTTTTTCGGGACCGGTAAGGGGATCGCAACCCTTGGCTTGGTGTCGCCCGCACTGCGCTCAGCCAGTGAGCATACCAGCCAGTCCTATATAGGATCCGAACCCGTGGCGGGAGCGTCGCTGCGCTCCCAGCGCCGCACTCTCCCGAGTGCGCCACGGGGCCGGCCCTCATTTCTAATAGTAATTAAATGGAACTGTTATATTTTAATTTATTTTAAAGTAAAACCACTCTCATGTGTGCTAGGCTTTAAAATGTGCTAAAATACAGCAGCTAAAAGTGGTGATGATAGAAAGAAATCTGGTTTCTCTGTTTCACTAACATAGTTTTCCTAAGCCTGGTACTTGGCTGTAAACACATTTTTTTTTTAAAGATGACTGATAAGGGGATCTTAACCCTTGACTTGGTTTGTCAGCACCATGCTCTCCGAAGTGAGCGAACTGGCCATCCCTATATGGGATCCGAACCCATGGCCTTGGTGTTATCAGCACCACACTCTCCCGAGTGAGCCATAGGCCGGCCCCTCTAAACACATTTTATAACATTCTATGTACAACATGGCATTTTTACTGTTCGTCATTTTAATCTGCATTTAATAGTGTAAGGACTCATTTAGTGAGTACTAGATAAGTTAACTCTTTAGTTAAAAAGATTTGGAATCTAAGTTATGCATAGACACCCTTAAAATATGAGCATCTGGCAAGCTTGTGTCTGTAGAAAAATAAGGACCTGGAATAGGAATTTCTCTTTAAAAGTTTGAAAATGTGTGCCCAACACTTACTCAAACAAGCATCTAATGGAAATCACAGCTTGGTGGTTTCTTTCCGTTGTGGAAGCGCCCTCTTGTGGCTAGTTTCTGTGAATTTGGGGTATCATTCCATATACATGTATTTGTGCATATGTATATGTATAGATATTTCCAGATTGCTTTCATTTTAACAAGAACAGGCAATACTCAAAATGAAGCCACAATTGGAGTTTCCAACATGGTTTGATTTACCTTAACTACCTTGCTTGCAAATTGGTTTACTTTATTTTGCTTTTGTTTTCTATGTATTTTATTTTATAAACCTAGTTTTATAAAATTTATACAAAAAGAGAAAATGTTTCAAGAGCAGCAAATATTGGGCCGGCCCATGGCTCACTCAGGAGAGTGCGGTGCTGATAACACCAAGGCCATGGGTTTGGATCCTATATAGGGATGGCCGGTTCGCTCACTGGGTGAGCGTGGTGCTGACAACACCAAGCCAAGGCTTGAGATCCCCTTACTGGTCATCTTAAAAAAAAAAAAAAAAGAGCAGCAAATATTATTAATTATCTTTCTTTCTGTTGCTTTTGGAAAACGAGAGATCTTCATGGCTTTAGAACTAGATAGGCAACATTTCTTTGGGTCATTTTCTAGCACAGGCACAGGGACAATATTTTTAAAAAATTTTCTCAAAACAATACAATTCTTCAGCTATTTAGGACCTTTCTGATATTTTTCTCACAACCACAATGATGATTCAAGCAATGATATCCGTAGCTAGTGTATTAGTCTGTGTCTGTTTCTTATAACAAAATATATAGAACTGGGTAATTTGTGAGAAAATGAATTTATTGCTTACAGTGTCTGAGGCTGAGCAGTCCAAAGTCCATCTAGTGGTGATGACAGTGACCCAGGGGTCTCACATTGCAAGATGGTGGAAGCAGAGAGAGAGAAGAAAGACAGACTCTCCTCTTCTTTTCAAGCCCTCAGAACCAAGCCCTTGACCACCATTTTTAATCCATTCACTACTGTGTGGTCCTACAATCCAGTCACCTCTTCAAGGCTCCATCTTTCATTTACCATAATAGGATTTCCCACCTTCCTAACAGTCACAGTGGGGGCTAAGTTTCTAATACATAAAAGTTGGGGGACACAATTCAAGTTTCAGTGAGTTTTGGGGGACACTACAGCTAGCGAGCCCCCACCTTGGATTTTGACAAAAACCACCACATCCATACTGTCTTTCTCACTTGCATTTGTCTCTCCTCCACTTTTTCTATAGAGTGTTTGGTCCTCACATTAAGGGCTGTGGGACTCTGATTTTTGTCTTGGCCACAGACTGTGCTTTCTAAGATGGGCACATCCTCCATGTGAAGTTCTGTGATGTTTTATGTTCCTGTGGGCAGCTGAAGGGTCAGGTCCTAACATCTGGGTCACCATATCTTCTTCAAGGATCCAGAGAGAGATGGTTCCCAAATGAAAAGTGCTACTTTGATTTTCCCTGTTTTTTAGTTTCACATTGTGTCTTTGGCATCTATCAGCTAAACTACACATTGCAGTATATATATATATACATTATATATATATATATATATATAATGTATATATATATATATAATTGTATATATATATATAATGTATATATATATATACTTTTTTTTTTTTTTTGACTGGTGGGGATTGCAACCCTCAGCACGGTGTGGTCTGCACCACGCTCAGCCAGTGAGTGCACTAGCCATCCCTATATAGGATCTGAACCCGCGGCCTCGGCACTACCAGTGCTGCACTCTCCCTAGTGAGCCACAGGGCCGGCCTTCACAGCTATATTTTAATATTACCTCAGTAATACTTTTATTTCCACAATTCAAGTTAACCTTTATAATTATAAATCACTTAGTCTGTATTTAGAGCTTTGCCAGATATATTAAACTGGCTGAAGGTAAAGCACTTTGAGAACCAGAATTCCTTTATGTGTATATAAGCCAGCAAGTCATTCAGATGTATGTTACTACCTATGTTAAATTGTTGGGAGATTCAGAAAGGTTTATTTAATAACTATAGTTGTGGCACATTGTACCACCTACTCACATATTTGTGGCCTTAAAGAAAGGATGTTAACAAAAAGAAATCAGTTAAGCTCTATTTCTTGTCTCCTACATGTCCTAGTTATAATTTACCCATTTGGAAAAATTTCAGGGGCTGCCTGTTAGGTCATTTGGTTAGAGCATGGTTCTGATAACACCAAGGTCAGGGGTTCAGATCCCCTTATCTGCCAGCTAGCAAAGGAAAAAAAAAAGTATACTTAGAAAATTTTTAATAAATACTTAGAAAATTTGACTAACAAATGCAATACATGATTTTTTTTTTTCCCTTTTTGTCTTTTTTCGTGACTGGCAACGGATCGCAACCCTCAGTGTCGCGCCCACACCGGACCGGGACCGGCAACGGGATCGCAACCCTCGGTGTTGCGCCCGCACCTCTCTCAGCCAGTGAGCGGCCGGTCTGTACATGGGATCCGAACCCTCGGCGGGAGCACCGCCACGCTCCCAAGCGGTGCACTGGAGCAGTGCGCCACCGGGCCGGCCCAATACATGATTTTTATAATGTTCACTTAGTTTTAAACCCTTATTCTGTTATAGTTGTAGTAGAACCGATCAGAGATCCTTCTGGTACACAAATACTATTTCCTTCTAGCAAATGTGAAATTCAGGATGAGTAAGCAGAGAATGTAGTTAACTTTCTCACGTACATAAACCCATTTTCCATTTGTCACAGGATTTGAAAATGTGAAAATACATATATCTGTATAGTTGCTCCAACTTTAATAAGTGTGCTATTAAAGGCTTATTTTTATCATACCAATTATTCAAGCCATTAAAGTCTTGTTTTTTGGTTTTTTGTTTTTTTGGTGGCTGGCCAGTACAGGGATCTGAACCAGTGACCTTGGTGTTATAAAGCTGTGCTCTCACCAACTGAGCTAACCAGCCAGCCCCCATTAAAGTTTTAAGATCATACAAAAACTTTATGAAGGTAGTTTATATTTGCGTAGCTTTGGTCATAATGAAGACTAAGAAGTAAATATAGGTAGGATTTCCATTAATGAATATGCAGAAAACCTGGGAGAGGAAAAGAAAAATGGGCATCTTAAAGTATTTATATTAGAATATATGAGGAGAGTTTGCTCTAATCGTTTGTTCTCAATTTCTTAGAAATTCTCTTGAATCCCTTTTTACTCATCTATTCAGCAGATATTTTTGAGTGTATAAGCTGTGCTTTAACTAGCTATAATAAAATAAATAAGGTAGGCATAACCCCTGCATAGGAAGGACAGAAACAGAAAGAGTAATTGGTGTCTATAAAACATATCAGCGTTGTCATACTGCATAAATGAGATACATGTATCATCTAAACATCACACGCAACCCTCTAAGGCAGTTGTTATCACCTCCATTTTCAAGATACGGGAACCAGAGATTAATGTGTGGCTGGTTCTTGAACTGAGGTCTTTTCTGACTCCAAAACCAGTGCCTTAAACCCCTGCATTTCCCTCTCTATATGACTCATTCTTATGACCAGATTAAACTTCTTCAGAACATACAATGTCAGCCTCTCTTAATTCATTAAATCAACAAATATTTGCTGAGTGTTTTAATATTTACCATGTACTGTGCTTTGTGATGAGAGAAATAAAAATAAATAAGACCTACTTTATGTCTTTGACCAAAGAGCTAGAACACAGTGTTGTGTTCTTTGTAACTCCATGCATGATTAGCCCATTGATTATACCTGATGGGCTGGCTCTTCCTACATGCAGTCACCAAGAATGTTGCCCCAGCCTTTCTCCGAGACAGTCCTGGGCAGTCGGGCTAGGTTGAACCTGCCAGACTTACTCCCTCCTGTGTTGCTCTGCAGAGCTCAGAGGAGCCTGCATGACATACATGGCCCTATGTCTGCTGTAGGGATGGGCCAGGAGACTTGCTAGAAACACTGGAGCCCCCCAGAGCCCTCCTCCCAAGTAACTGGCCCCAAGCAGCAGCAACAGGATTTGTAGCATAGAACTTCTTTGTCATTAGGGTCTTTTTCTCCATGATACATTGGTAACCACTAGCAGTCTCTCATTTGAAGCAATAAAGTAGATAATATAGTCATATTTACAAGTGTTCACCTTGGTGCAACCCTATTGATTGGTTTATTAGTTAATGAG